CGCCCAGCGGCCCCGCCGGCTGGGACGGAGAGGAGCGCGCCCAGGCTCGCCGCTCCCGGAGCCGGCGTGGAGAGGAGCGGCGCTGAGATAAAGCTGGAGAGCCGCAGGAGCGGTGGGAGCGAGACTCCCGGAGCCAGCGGGGCGCCCCAGATCCCCAGGGCGACGCGGCTGCCCTCGCCGTCCGCAAGGTGAGGGACGCGCACCTGCCGGGGCTTCGCTCTCTCCCCTGCCCGGGGCGGGGGTTCTTGCTCCAGCTCGGGGACTTTTGCTCCCTCTGAGCTGCAAAGGTGGCGAGAGTTCGGGTTCGGGGTGCGGGGAGGGAGGCTGAGGGGGTCTGCGCGTGTCTCCTGGAGTTCTGAGTGCGGAACGCGTTTCCCCTCCAAACAGTCGCGCGCATGACCCTGGGTATGGATCGGTATTCTGCGTAACTGTGGTTTAAGAATTTTATCCTGCTTCGGTGCACAAGGATTTGAGGCACTTTAAAGATTAAATTATTTTGGAAGGGAAGCTAAAAAGGAAAGAAGAAGATAGAGAAGAAAAAAAAAAAAAAAAAAGACCTGAGCAGAAACCGCACACGAAGATGGTTCGCTCTGGGGGACCGCGGGAGGACGGGGTGATTTCAGAGCCAATACTGATGGTAAAACCTTTGATTAGAAATGACTGCACGAGCCCTTCAGCCCTCAGAAAATGACCTACAGAATACCCAGGTGGTAGACCCAAAATACCCAGGTGGGAGATTTTACAAAATAAAGCTTGATAGTGTGGCTTCAGATGAGAAGTTTGATCTGAAGCTGTTTGCACCTAACGCTGCCTCTAGTCACAGGACCCTAACATGCATGGTTTTGCGTTGTTAAAATATATGTACTTTGATGGATTTCTGCCCACGTCCAGTTTCTCGAAAGGACCTTGTATTCAACTCAACATACTCGTCCTTGAGGTAAAAGGATGAAGCAAAAGGTGTCCGGATCACAGGCTGCTTCTTCCTAGCCTTCCTTATTGTCTTTTTTTTTTTTTTTTTTTTTTTTTTGCTTCCTGCACCAAATCTCTCCGTAAGGGGAGGGGTTCGGAAGAGAATAACAGATGATCAAATGAGGTTTCTTCCAAATCATTAAGGCGTCATTTACCATCCTTCCTATTTATTCCCTCAAAATCCCGAGCAGTACATGCTGCTGGTCTGAACTTGACATTGCTTCAGAATATGCATTTACCATCGTTTCACATTGGACACAGTGTGCATCACCTTGAGCACCCAGACGGCCTTGTAAATCACGGGCTTGTCAGATTTAACCCTGTGCGTGAAGAACGAAGTAGGCGTCTGGGTCGGGCTCCCTGTGCAGCCTCTTCCATGGGGAGAATACTTGAAATAGCTTTGAAGTACAAAGAGGAAATGATCAGCCTTTCTTCTCTTGCTAGTGCAGTTGTTTCCTGCTGAATTAAATAAGATGATCTTGTGTTCAAGAAATAAATGCTCAGAGGCATTGAAGCCCACCTAACAAATGAACAAAATAGGACTCCGCACCTTTTCACTCCCTTCCAAACGTTAACCTCCAGCCCACAGCTGTGATGATGATGCCGACTCCAAAGCAGGGCTCAGCTCGCTTTCTGTATCACGTTCAAAACAAAACGTGTTGCTTATTTCTAAAATTGCATATTACCTCACAACTAACCATTTTGCTCACAGAGGTGGGAGAAGTACTTGAGCCCGGGTATTTTATCACGGAGAGAACTATAAAAAGAACCTTATTCAAATCTTGATTTGTCATTGTTGATAGAACTTAAGTATCATGTCATCACCACCTGACAGGGGCTGTAGAAGTCCAAGGACTTCTACTGATCTCCACAAATTGAGATAATGACACAACTACAAAGGAGCTTCAAAAAATGTAGCCTTGACTCTGGCCCTAGGTATGTGCATGTTGAAATACTTCTTTAAGTAGCTGTTCATGAAAATTTCCAGAGATGTATGTACATTTCGCAAACCATTTTTACAATAGAAAGTATTCAAACGAGCAATGTGTGTTCACCAACTGACATTTAACATTCTGTAGAAATCAACATCACAAACTTTGTAAACTCCACTTTACATTCTTTCTCTTTGTCTCCCTGTGGGAATCCCACTCAAGGTACATTCCCAGACCAGATGCTAATATGTATTCTCCTGGACGTTCCCTTCCCTTGGGCAAGAGTTGAGACCGAGACACAGCCTTCCTTACAATTCACCCTGGTGACACCTTGTTAGCCACTTTGCCTATTCAGAATACTTGCTTTCTATTTCCTCTTCTGCATGCCTGATAAGGAGCAATCACATTAACAATTTTCAGTTCTTTTGAGAAGATTAAACCAAGTGAGATTCTTAGAGATGGTATCCAGGAAAAGTCAAAATCCAAGCCACATCTCCAGGCCAGATGACAATGCACTACAATTCCTTTCCTTGCTGTTCACTGGAATTGTTACTGGGAATGGTAATAGTGGTTACTGGCAGCACCTTGTCCCTACCTAGCTCAAGCCCCTCCATGTTGACATACTTACTACTCCGCCACTAAAACCACCACCAAGATACCAACACTTATGGAAATTGGACCCCTTTGCAAAAATTGTCAGACGAACCCAGAACTTTCGGGTCATCTTCCCAGCATGCAGCCATCTAGTTCTCTACTCTTCACCTTTACACGCAGGATATTTTCTTTTCATATTTCTACTGACTTTCTTAAAATTTTGTCTGTATAGTTTACTTTAAAAATATGCACCTAATATTTTAATATAGAGATACTTTGCTCCTACTTCTCCAGGTTTATTTACCTGATAAAATAAGCGTGAGGCTGCATGAGAGTGGAATTTCAACCAAACAGAAACTTGTTTATACCATATGTTATCAAGGCCATCTCAGGGCAGCAGGAAGTCTGGCATCTTGCCCTTTATGCTCCTTTCTTCTCCACCTGCCATATTTTTATGTATGAAATTATCTGAACATTAGCTCTAGTGAAACACAATAAATATGCTATCTGGTGGGGAGAGAGAAAGATAAGAGAACACAGAACAGAAAAGGAAGACTCACTTGATTTGGAATGGGGCAAAAGCTCCCCCCTCACCAGCTATTTTCTAGAACCATTACTGTGACCCTTAAAATCTGAAGCCCAAGGCAATCAACTTACCAATATCTGTGTTCCTGGGAATAAAAGTATTTTATCAATGCCCATCTAATTTTCAAAAAGTATTTGTTCCCTCATTTCTTGGATTAAGAATCTAAGAACCTTAGGGGAATGGGAAAAAGAATCAAGTTATATCATGTATATCAAGTATATATCAAGTTATATCATATACAGGTACAAATTCACTATAATGAATGTAATCATTATTTATAGTGACAACGTACCAATAAAATTAATGAATGAAAAGATATCTAACGGTTCCCGGTACCGGAGAAAAACCAAAAAAAAAAGAAAAAAAGAAAAGATATCCAAGAGTCAGAGTTTATAGAGATTATTCATCTAATCAATTGGCATATTCCTGAATCAGGACAAATAAGTAAAGTCCTTGAGAATTAACACAGTTTGATTCTACAGTAGTCCCACTACCCCTTCTAAAATCCCGCACCCCCAGTGAATGAATGTCTGACACTGCAGATAGTTCACTGCCACATAGTACCAGTGTTCATCTGTCCTGGCATATTTTTTGCCCTGGTGCCTGGTTTGTAATGCTACACTTGCATTTTGTCATCATTATGGAGTAAAATAAGGATTACTTAAACACAAGCATTGCAGTTCCCCAACAGTTGATCTGATGACCAAGATGACTACTAACAACTAACTGGCAGGTAGCATATGCAGCATGGATACGCTGGACAAAGTGATATAACTCATGCCCCACGTAGGATAGAGCGGGAGGATACAAGATTTCATCACACTACTCAGAACATCATGCACAACAAAACCTGTGAATGGCTTGCTTCTGGGGTTTTCCTTTTAATATTTTGGACCACAGTTAGCCACAAGTAGCTGAAATCATGAAAAACAAAACTTAAGGGGAGGAGATGTTGTTGCATTTAATTTTCACGTTAGCTCTCATAATTTTTCTCACCCATTGTAAATTGTTATGTTAACTGTGGTCCTTGCTTTAATAGAGTTCACAGTTGAGCATTTCATGGTTGTGTCCTCCTAAAACAGCTTAAATGAGAAATACTTAGTCAGTGGAACCTTTTAGTAGGTTGTTAGAACTCTATTGTTCATCAGTACTCAATACATGCAGTTAAAGGAATAGAAAGACAAGATCCTTTGGAAGAAGCTCTACAGCCCAATTCTTCTCTATCTGGATGATTTTAAACTACAAGTTGTAAGAGAAATGGGCATCTTGAGATTCTGGTTATCAGTACAGACCAATGAACAATCTTAATGAAATCTGGCATGAAAAAGATAGCATTTTTATAGCAAAAATATAGTATTTTCAGAAATAATAACCAGCAGCAGAAACTTGCAGTTTAAGACTCTGAAAACCTTCAAATGACCTCTTCTATTTTGAGTGCCCAAATAAAATAAAACCAGATCCCATGAAATAGTCTTTCCTTAGACACAGCTATTCTTTATCCCTTTATCAAATAATAGCAATGTGGTGATATTTCTAAAGGCTTTGGAGAAAATCTGACTTGAACATTACAGCATGAGATTTTTTTAGGGCATCTTACCCAAGAAAGTCTAATAGTGTAAAGATTAACATTCTTAGGAATGGAAGAAAGTCAGGGTATCTTTTCGGAGTAGGTTTCAATAAAAGGATAGTGAAATTGATAGGCAATTAATGTTCAAAATTATAAATTCACTCATCTATATTATAGAGGTCTGGAGAGATAGCTCAGCAGCACAGTGCCTGCCTGGCAAGCACAAGGTCCTGAGTTTGATTCCCAGTACAAAAAAAAAAAAAATCTATACTATAGAGAAAGAAAAAGAGGAAGAAGTTAATTTATCCTGAGTATCTGCTATGTTTTAGTAACTGTGCTAAGAGCTGAATGCATACTGTTTTATTTAATGCTCAAAAAAAGTTCTGCAAGGGATTACCAAACTCTCCAGTTATTCATTCATTGAAAAGTCTTATTTATAGGCTAAAATTGTAGCTTACTGGTATAGTATGATGTTTTCCTAGCATGCACAAGGTCCTGAGTTCAGTTCCCAAGTACTAAAAAGGAAGGAAGAGAGGGAGT